GGGGGAACGGGCGGGAAGACTCGCAGGCGCACACATACAACGACACGGACTAATATTACAATTCCGGGGGGAAGAGAAGGAAGAAAAAAAAAATATTTTTCTTTTGTGTTTTTACGTGTATGTGTGTGTCTGTGGGTCGGTGGGCAGGCGCGGCGGCTGGTAGGAAGAAAGGCAGAGGAGGGGAGAGCGAGGCGGAGGCACCGCGGTGCGCGGATGACGGAGCGGCGCAGGCAAAAGAAGGCGGGGCGCGAGGGAGTCGCACCCACGGGACACACAACACCGAGCTGCCACTGCTAAGCCGAAGCCGTGCTTGCACTTAACTCTTCGTGCATTTAACTTTCTCGGTCACTCACTCACTCACTCACAACGCAAAGAGAGGAATGAAGGAACAGCGGGCAGACACATCGGACGAGGGAGCAGCATCGACACACAGGCACAGAGAACGGAAAGAAATCAATACTCACTGAGTGCCGTGTAAGGCACGCGTACATTCAATCACACACACACGCCCACACTCATATATGTTAGTGTATGCATTATGTATGTATAAGTGCATTGAGACGTGCGTGAATGCATGTATGTGTGTATGTGTGTGTGCGTCTGTGCGTGTGTGTGTGTGTGTGTGTTTTCACTGCTTCATCCACAGTGCACATTTAGATTTTCTCATGCGCGCCTCTCTCTCTCTCTCTCAGACTCTCACTTTGTCATTCTCGTTCTCTCACTCATTCTCTCCCTCTGCGTGTGTGTGTGTGTGTGGGAGGTGTGCGCCCGCCCGCTGTTGGGAGCGCCTCGATTACACTCCGCCACGCCCATCCTCCTCGACAAGAACTGAAAGAACAGCAACGAAAGGAACCAAAACAACCAAACAAACAAAATGAAAGAAACAGAACTCCCCCTTCCCACACACCCAACGAAAAAAGAACAGGATACGAATTCAAATCAAATCACGCGAGGAGAAGAGGTATGAAAAGAGAAAAAAAAATCGTGTGGGTGCCTCACCGTTATGTGTGCTGGCACTTGTGTGCGCTGAATGAAGATCAGTGCCCCCGCCCTTCTCTCTCTCTCTCTCTATATATATATATATATATATATTCTTTCTTCTTGCCTTCTGTCTCTCTCTTTCTCTCTTTCTCTCTCTCTCCTCATTCCACGTGCCTTTTTTCTAAGCCGGGCTGCATTCTGTGGCTGCAAACTCCAAAGCAAAAGAAGAGAGCGAGAAGAAAGAAGGCACATACTCAAGCACAGGCTTGCACATACGCAAGCGGTGGCCGACGAACAATAACCATCCAAGGCTCGAGTGGCGATCTGTTTTGTCGTGCCGCCTTTACCCCCCTTCTCCTCTTTCTCCTCCTCTCCCATCGCTCTCTTTCTCTTCGTTCGTCGATACTGTGACGGCGGCATCAGCACGTAGCGGCCTGCTTTGCGAAGGCCTCTTGTAATTTTGCTGGGTGCTGTGCAAATAGTCTGACGTTGCGTAAAGCGGCGAGAGGGAGCGTGAGCAGGGACAGGACCTCAGGATGACCGCATCTCGAGCAGCAGCCGTAGCGGCGGCGGCGGCGGGAGAGGATATGTACGACCCCTTTTCCGTCGACCGTGCGTTCACCATGTCACTCTTCCACGGATACTGCACGGTGGTCCCCGAGGATGTGCGCGCGCGACTCTCCCAGACGGAGACAGACGCACTGCAGTTCGTGATGGTGCTGCGGCCGCGCGTGACGTCCTTTTCTCACCGCCGCCCTTTCTCGCTGCGGCACCCCGCGGTATCGATGGCGGCGCGGCAGTACTACAACGCGCTTCGCGCTGCCGCCAAGGAGGAGGCGCGGCTGCGCGGCGACAACGCATCAGGCCGTGCGTTTTTTGTGGAGAGCACCACGACCCTTCCAGAGAGCACCGAGCGGGGAAGTATGCGGTCAGCGTCGATCTGCGGCACGTCGGGCCCGAAGGCCATTACTCTAGAGCAACTGAGCCGGAATGACTGGAGCACAGTGGAGTCGTGCTACGACGTCATTCTGCGCCACTCGTACCCCCGACGCATCGCCGCCCCCGCGATTTCGGGCAGCGAGATGGTGACTGAAGCCGTCTGCCGCTACTGGGAGCGCATCACCGTTCCCCCCAACGAAGTCGACGTGACCTCATCAGGTTTTGACGCCGAGAACAAGGCCGCAGAAGCCTCGATGTCGTTTATCCAGGGTGGCCAAGCGTCTGCGTCGCCCGAGTACGCAATGCACATGACGGCCGCGCAGTACGTCTACCTGCACCTTCGCATCGCTAGCGTGCTGCTACCGCCGGATGCACTGCAGTCGGAGATACTCGATTCCATCATTCTAGATCTTCGTACTGACGCGGGGCCAGGGAGGGCGGCGCTGGGGTTGTCCTTCGGCTCTGCGCCGCGGCTCTACGGCTACTTGGGCGGCGACGATGTCGACGACGACGACGGCGGCGGCGGCGACGATTTGGGCGGAAACGACATTCGCCGGGAAGCGGATTCACAGCTTTCCTCAAAGTGCTCATTTGGGGCGGCCCAGAGGAACGGGATGCAGCCAGAAGAGACGGCGGCGGCGAGGGCAAGGGATTTGCTCACTGGCGAAGCCTTCACCACCGCCTTGTCCAGCCTCCCTGACATCAGCTTTGGGCAGTTCTGGAGGTCGATGCTAGAGCTGTCTGACAACTGGACGAGCAGCACGCACCCCGTGGAGCACGCCATCTTCTTGATGGAGCTGTACTGCGAGGTGTTCGGCCACGAGTGGGATGACGAGGATGCGGCCCTCATGAAAACATTGCATGCCGCTGCATCAGAACGCGGGGCCAGCCGTCAAGATGGCCTTATCTCCTTTTTTGATGACACTGAGGAGAGTGTGCAAATGTTGTCGGAGTTTAACTATATGATGTGGTCTATCGCGGAGTACGCCACGTCGGGTTCCGTGTACCAGCCAAGCATCCCCACCATCAGACGGGGTTCGCGCATGGGCGCCAGCATACGCACCGAACGCGGTTCCGACCTTGGAACCATAGCGATGCAGGGGCGCGACAGCGAAGACAGCGGAAGGGAAAGCGACAGTGGCGACCAAAGCGCCAACACGCAAGACAACAAGCGGCGTGGCAGACGCGGGGCACGCACCAGCTCCGTGGTCGCTGCTTGGTCTGAGGAAGAAAGCGAGAGCTTTAGTGAATACAGCAGCGATGAAGAGGCCGGCGAGGGTCGCCGGCAGCGGCGGCGTCGGTCGCGCATCCGCGGCAGTGTCTTCTCGCGCCGGCGAAGTAGTGCTGCTGGATCCACGAAGCGGTGGGGCGCCGGCAGACGGAGGTCGCGGCGGAGTTTAGTCAGCAGCGGCGACGAGAAAACGGTGGGGCGAAAAGGGCGCCGTGCCTCGCGTGGCAGAGACGGCTCCGCCAGTTCACGCAGTGGAGGCGCTGGCCGGTCTGGGCGGGGTGGTCGGCGTCGTTACCGCAGCGACGAGTCCGACGAGGAGGACGCGGCGGATGTGGACGGCACGCGCCGCAGGATAGGAAGGCACGGTGGACCTGGGAGGAGAGGACTGGGCAGACGCCGTGGCACTAGAGGCGGCGGCAGCAGTGGCAGCGACTATGACAGCGACGAGTCTTCACTGAGCAGTATCCGTAGCTTGGTCTACTCGGTGCCAGATGACGAGCTGACGCCCCTCTCCTTGGCACGGCGGAAGGAGGAGCGGGAACGGCATCGACAGGAACGCGAACGCCGCCGGCAGGAGCAAGAGGAGCGGCAACGGAAGCGAAGCGAGCGTGCTAAGAAGAAACGAGAAGGCGCGGCCTCCCGGTTACGGCAATACACACCAGCCGAGATGGCAGAGAAGCGTGCGCGTGTGCTTCAGAAGTTGTTGGAAAAGGGCATCAAGATCACCGCAGACCTACTCTCAGACGAGGACGTCCTAAACCTCGCCGACGACGTCATCGACGCGGAGCTGCTGCAGCGTCTCATGCAGGGCGCCGGTTACGCCCTCGAGGACGTGAACGAGTCAGACTTCCTGCACATCCTTCTTGGCGAGCAGGAGCCGCGACCCGGCGGCGGCGTCGATGCCGCCACCGCAGACTCCGTCCTTGCC